ATATTTGTATAGGACTATAGGAAAACATTAAGGATTAAGATCAGCCATAAGGGCAAATATAACAGAACAGATTTTCCCACCAACCTCAAGAGTCAAGTCCGACCACTCAGCGGTAAGTCCTGTGTGGTGTAGGTCGTACTTGGTAGGTAGGATTATGCCTGTCGGTGTGCACGCGAACTAGTGTTCTGTGCTGTACGCCCGTGGTAAAGCCAAGAGATTTGGTATTGGGTATTGGGTATTAGGGCGAGATGTCGCCATTGAGATCTAGCCATATATTGGGAGGCGGATCGACAGAGTACGAGTCTTCGCCATACATTGGGAGGCAAGGCTTCGTTATTCTAACTATTCCAGCGCGGGATTAACCCCGGCACCCACGTATAGAGCTGTATCAGGCCAGTACCCTTCCGCTGTTGGGACTGCGTGGTATATTGAGTGTGTGTGAGCATCCTAGTCTTGCCCGTGACTAGGACTGCTGAGGTTTTAGTGGTTGACCTGTAGGAACCACAGTACACAGAAACACAGACCAACCCGGTGCAAGGGATCGTACTAAGGCCTTCGGGTTCTTGTGTTGATCCCAGATAAGCCTACTAAGTCTTCGTGACGAAGTGGGTGTTGTCGGAGGGAGGTGTACCTATATTTTGGACGTATTCCGATACGACAGTACTGCTCCCTCGACATGGCGAGGGATTCTGGGTCGTGTCCATGACGCCGCGGGCAGGATTGATATCAGCGTTCATCACGCCTTTTGGATTGTTCGAGTGGACGAGGATGCCGTTCGGTCTAAAGAACATTCCGCAGATCTACCAGTGGATCGTGGACAACGCCCTATATTGACACATGTACATCAAGCCTGGCCAGGACAAGGCAGTAGATGTGTTCGAGGAAGGGGAGCCTGAGCCTGAGCCCAAACCGTCGATCTTGGGCGACGTTCATACGTGGAAAACATCTCGTGACTGGGATAGTATGTGTAACAAGGTTGACAAGCTGCTGGATGTATGCGATCGTTGGAACCTATCGATCAGTGTAGCTAAAAGCTACTGGGGTAGGCGCAAAGTGACCGACCTGGGCCACCGGCTATCTGCAGACGAGTTGGAGGCGAAGCCGAAAGACCTCGAGGCCTTCTCAAATCTCCCGTTCCCCACAAAGCTGAAGTCGATGCTGTCGTTCGTTGGGAGCCTGAATTACTACAGCCTCTTTATCGAGGACTTTCCCGTCCATGCAGTGATTGTGTATGAACTTCGGGAAGTAGATTACCACGAGATCGCACGGTTGAAGTTGACCGGAGAGCCTGAGGAAGGGACAGCACCGGCTGATCAGCAACGCGATCACTTGACGCGAGAAATAAATGCGTTCATCATACGCAAAGCGAAGATCTTCTCCACCCCGATCTCGAACCACTTCGATCCGGGGAGGGCACCAGTCATAGTCCTTTATGCTAACAAGTGGGCGATCTAAGCGGCGTTAATGCAGGAACACGGCGGTGTGTATTGGCCGGTGACCTTCACCAGTCGAACGCTGAATGCCAACGAGTTGAACTACGGTATCGTAGACACGGAGGCCCTTGTACTTCCGCGTATACTGGACGTCTACTACACGCAGTTCGCTACCCGATCGATCAAGGTGTTGTCACGTTTCCCCACGTTAGCTTGGCTCCTGAAGTCGAACGGGCTGGGCGGACGTTTGGGCAGGTGGGCCGCATTGCTGTCCGGCCAGACACTGGAGATCACAAAGTGTTCCAAAGGCGCAGAAGAAATCCTGGGAGCGGCAGCAGCGAGCATCACTCCACGAGCTGAAGTGGATGATGCCCTAAGCGCGATAGCCCAGAAGAAACAACCCCCGAAGATGATCGCTATGATCCCTCCAACCATAGACCCGGAAGGGAATCTCTTGGTAGCAAGATTTGATGGCTTTGCACGGGTGAAGCGTGAGGTAGGTGCGTACAGCTCGAACATATGGAAATTTCCCGAGTGGACGATCCTTGAAGCGATATCCGAACCCATGCCGGACCTGACAGTGAACGAGGCGGAGTATAGAGGATTGATACTATGTTTCGGGCTCCTTTCAACTCAATCCAGAGGGCGAGTCGTGATCTGTGATGACTACACCTTGGGATCCGCCAGATGAGAGACGAGATCGACTGCAAGGCGTCAGACCTGCATCCGTTACGCCAGAAGGCGTTGGACCAACTGCGATCTTGGCCGAAGCACGAATTCCTGCACGTAAAGCCAGTGCTGCCTTGCAGCGTGAAGAAAGCGAGATCGTGACATCAACAGGGCCTGATCACGCTGAACAGATTGCACGAAATTCTGCAACCAAGGTCAGCCAGATCAGTGACACACGTGAATGTGATCACTCGATCTGCAGTAAATCGGACGCTGCCCCCGACAGTGATGTATGAATCTGTTGTGCGACGTATACGGGGTCAGCGGATCAAGCAGGCACAAGACGAAGAGAAGTGGATCGTCGATCTAAAAGCGTATCTGAACGGTGACCTGAGTGATCTGTCGAACGTATGAAGTCGATGAAGACAGTGTTTTATTTCCCGAGGACCCTGACAGGAGACGAAGATAGCTATGACGTCGTCAGACTGCTAGCACCGGAAAGCATACAACAGGACTTCCTACAGTATTACCACACGAGCCTTAAAGGAAGCCATCAGGGTGGCGGAAGAACATACCGTAAAATCTGGACGCATTTTCACTAGCGCAACTTGTATCGAAGTGTCCAGCGCTACGTAAGAGAATGCACAGACTGTGCGACAGGAAAAGGGAAACCAACAGATCACGGGAGGTCGCATGGAAACATACAGAGCACGTACCCGTCCCAAATCATCTCCATGGGTCACATTCCATTGTTGCCGCGATCCTTCAAAGGGAACACCAAGTTGTTGATATGAGCAGATTTGTTCACCGGTTATCTAATCGCTAAGACTGGATCATCGCAAGAAACGCAAACAGTAGCGGAAAACTACGAGAAATGCGTCTTCAGGCAGTTCGGCGCAAGTGAGGTCATCAGACATGCTCGAGAACCAGGGTTCATGGTGGATTTCTTCCGTTCGTTCGGTCGAATAGTGACGATAAAACAACGTGCGATGATGGCATACCGCACTCGAGGTAATTAAGAGCCGAACGGACGGTGCGAAAGCTGACACGGGCATTGAAGATGAACGTCGCAGACGTCAATCAACAAGACTGGGACAGACGTTCGCTCTCATCACCACTGAAGGTCGAGTTCGCGGGGACACGTCCTTCTAGTTAGTGCACGATTGGGACGCGAGAACGACGTTGGAAGCAAAGCTCCCCGTCGGATCGTCCGGGCGGGGGGACAGTAGCGCTCACCGTTGGAGATACCATATGCAGTCACAGTACCGACGACCCAGGGAAGCGGTGAACAGCGACCTGACGGCGGCGATCGAAGCAAGAGCTGAACGACACAACGAGCGAGTCAGCCCCCCACAAGATTGAACGGGGATGTGCACAAGTGTGGCTCTACCTGGACAGAGTGAAGGAAGATTTTGCGTGGAAGCTGACCTACAGGTGACACAGTCCCTTTCGCGTAGCAGAAGTGGTTGGCGACCATTCAGCGCGTCTAGAGACAAGTGGGACTGGATTTCGCATCTTCCACATAGTGCAACTGTCAAAGTTGACGGTGGTGAGGACATTCCCCGATCGGCCAACCGCAACCCTTGCTATGGACGAAGAAAATCGTGTCGACTTCGACGAAGCTCTCCGAGCGGAAGACAGCTGGGAACTACCTTTCGACGACGATGAATTTGTGGTGGAGCGGGTCACCGACGTGAGATCAGGCCGTCGAGTTTGATACGGTCACCTCCATCGAGTGTTCCAGGTATATTGGAAGGGCTACAGCAAGCGTACGGTGGTAGACGAAGCTACTTGAACTATGGGGCGCTCTTGGCCGAGTTTGAACGGGACCGGGCGAGCCGCGGCCTTTTCAACGTAATGCGGTGCATGAACTGGATGCTGAGCACCTGCCGTAGAAGCCAGTGCAAGTGGAGAGAAGAAAAGTGTGCGAGGTAGCCGCAGGAAGACAGGTACTAATTGCAGGATGCGTGAGATTGCCTGAAATTGAAAAGGCAAAGAAATGGGGTGATCAAGGGTGTTACGGAAACTGACAGATCAAGATACAAACCTTGAAGCTCTCGAACGTGACTGAGCCCAGCCGTGTTATGGATACCGTTAATCTGACCGAAGTTCGATGCTTGGGACGAGATCTAAACTTGGAGGTCAAGGCCGATGGCAACTTGAAGGCAAACATTGGAACTTGAAGACCAAGCTCTTCTCACAACAAGTTCATATGGAAGGCCAAAGTACGATCGGCGTACGTCACCTTGGGAGACAATCGTGATAACCAAGCAGCAGGATCGAAAGCCGACTGATGTCTACACCCGACGTATGAATATGAAGATCAACATGCATTGATCCAATGCGGTACTTGAGGAGATCGGCCGTTGCAGCAAACTTGGGGTTGAGTACACAAGCACCAGTTGCCAGGTTAAGACTGACTCCTCAAAGAAGATCGCAAGTTTAACTTACCCACATAGCTATCGGAGACATCAGGAATGACAACATGTCAACAGCAGATCAACAAACGCTTCCATAGCAAGATCGAACCTTATACACTATGATGTGTCTGTCCTCAGAGCAAGGATCGAACATTACTATTGTCAAAACCATCCTAACGTCAGCAGAAGATCAATGAACGTCCAACAAACATGTGCCAACCGATACCATCGATGCAACACGCCACAGGATGACTTTGTAGTACATTGGCAATTGGTGGATTCAGCAATATATCGTACCGTTCGTATTACACACAGTATTAGCCGCGACACCGATATAATATGTCACACACGGGCAACCCACACGTAATACGAGTGCCAGACATTTGAACACAAGTTAGTGGCACTGGATACGAATGGTCGGAGGCGGAGAATCCGTGGGGACGACGTAAGTGTGCGCGCCAGGCGCGAACGCTGTACCTCGGCACCTGAGGGCGCCTGTGGTGAAGCGACGCTTCCAAAAATATGCCATGTGTCGCAGTGCCACGTGGCGACTGTTGGCGACTGATTATTAATACACGTGGGACAGGGATCCGTAATCACTTTGTGTAATCATGTGGAACGTAATCCCGATGGTATCACACACAGACACACCAAGATCGATCTATGTGGCCCACACAATGGCGATCTGGCAAAGATCGACCAAGATTGACGAAGATCGACCAAGATTGACGAAGATCGATCTACGTGGTACACACAAGGCCTAGATCGCTCAAGTGTGAATATTGATCTACGATCTTCGATCTGTGATCTTCGGTGGTCGATCTTGGATTTGCGTTCCTCGGTGGTCGACCTTCAATCTGCGAACTTAGAGTGATGAACCAAGTTTTCGGTACAAGACGATAATGGCTGATATGGGTGCAAGGGCACCGTGATTACGGCACACGTAGGTACCATTTAGGAATGAGTGGTGGTGCGGATAGACTAGGGAGAGATAGGCAGACTTCAAAATATTCTTTGGACCCCTCACATTGGATTCCTTCTCATCTTAAGCCACGTGGCACTCCATACCAGGCCGGGATCGTACATTGGCCCTCCTGACGAAAAAGGAGACACCAGAGCCCACGAAGGGAATAAAACGAGAGACCCTAGATCGCGAGTGATTACCCCCCCCTCAAGACGCCGCTATTGGAAGCGGCAAACATAGGAAAGAAGGAAAGTAATCAGAACACACACACAAGGACACGTGGATCGATTACTTGATCTACACCCCGCACCCGACGCCGCGTGAAAAAGTAACCGTGCATCACTCCCCAATCACAAGTACCGTCCATATGGCCCCCAAGATCGACCACCAGGGCATCCTCAAGTCACCGGAGGAGTACAATCCCGCCCCACCGACGGCTACAGAAGGTGAGAAGACCCTCAGCGTCAGCTGATATTCGGAGTACCCCCTCCGTTAGTCGGTCGTCCGAGGCACTGTAGCGAGGTCGACAGCGGCAGTCACCAAGCCACTTCGCTACATACACAAGATAAGAAAGTTCAGTCAATCACCGATCAACAGGAGTACCCCCTCCTATAGTCGGTGTACTGGGAGCTGTGTCAAGCCAGATCCAGCATCTTCGAAAATTTTGCTGATCCCGCTCCACGCTTGCCCGGATCTTCGGTTACTCGGGATTTCACCGTGAGTCTCAAGAGAAAGTTCAAGTGAAGGCTGGACAAGGGGACGAGATGTCGTCGGATGCCAGATCGACGACAACATCACTGAACGCTAGATGTGTGGATCGACAGAGGACCAGGAGAAACTCTGTCGATTTAAGTGCTGGGTACCGATCCCGATTTGGAAGAGACAGATCGACGACAACATCACTGAACGCTAGATGTGTCGATCGACAGAGGACCAGGATAAACTCTGTCGATTTAAGTGCTGGGTACCGATCCCGATTTGGAAGAGAAACCTCATTCTCCACAGGTCGCCACCATGGAGACCCCTGCGAATCGTGACTCGCGTCAAGATCCACTAACAAAACAAACAAAGGTGAAGGGTAAACCGTATTCATTCATTGACCCGGATAAGCCAACACTATATCTGCCCAAGGACCCGCAAGTCTCTGGATCCGAGGTTGGGAAGCTGAGATCCAAGCCTGTGCGGAAGAAAATGAAGGCGCCAGATGACGAGGATCATCACGGATCTAGCTGGTCTAAAGAAGTTCTGAAGTCCATGTATCACCACAAGGATCTACGTGACTTCGTGCACCAGGATCAAGTGATGCGAATCCTGAAACTCAAGTGGATCGCGGATCCGAAGGAGCCTGTGACTGCTCCCGCAACACTGACCAACAGATTTGATGCAGCGATGGAGCTGATCCACCTGTTGAAAGAAGAGAATATGGTCCCTGGATCCTTCGACTCTGACGCTCTGTTCGAGTTAGACCTCAATGTTATACAAGCCACCCGCGATCTGTTCGAGAAGTTGAAGATCCCTGTAGGAGAGGTGCCCCAGAGCCCATACTCATTGCCATTGACCAGGACCGACGTCGGCGATAACTTGACAGTGTTGTCCCATTATGCGTCCGCCGCGGAAGGTGGATCGAACACTTCCTCGGAACCACCGCGACGGATGTCCTAGGACTCTCTGCAGCATCAATACTGGAGGCGAGATCCAAGATCCGCCGCTCTAGCCCAGCCTTAACCAGCCACCGCGACAATGGATCAGCGCCTACGAATCCCGCCACGACCACTGAGAGTTCAGATCGATCGATCGGTACCTAGCAGAAGTTCTGCAATGCCGCAATCGATCGATACTTGGCCGAAGAACGCGAGGCGACCAAAGATCCAGCTAGTACGCAGCCACAGCAGCAAGGATCACAAGATGTCGAGATGGAACTCATTAGATCCTCCGATAGTGGATCTCGTTGGGAGTACGATCCCGACGATGTACTTTCCAATGTCTGCGCAAAACCACAGTGACCATCGCTGCTGCTGGAACCACAAGTTCCAGCATATCACAGCGTGTTCGGATCTCGGCGATTTCGGATCCCACCGAATTCACTGGCAAGGATCAAGACGAAGATCGAGCGCAGGCGTGGATCAGCAAAGCGATATCTTTGTTTATGCAAGATCAAATATCGGATGACGAAAAGTGCTTGACCTTCGCAGATCTCCTTGCTGGATCCGCCAAGAACCGGTATGACCAGTTGATTAGATCCACTCGCAACAGATGAAGCGATCTTCTTCACAGTTTCCAGATCTAGTACTGTGTGCATGGAGTATCGGTAGCAAGACAATACTACCATACGCGACGTAGAACCGATGATTCGACGCTTAACTACTTGTATCGTCTCAACGTCCGTGCACGGTTCAAGATCAAAGATGGCAACGCGGAGGATCGACGTGTACATGTGGATCATTCCCTCGAGACTCTTGAGGATGAAGATCTAGCAGAACGTGTAACCTTACTGCGGTTGACTCGGATGGTCTAGAGGAGGTCCTTCGCGACCGATATCGCGCTAAGCATCATCAGAAGAAGACTGCGTTTTGATCCAGAGAGTATCGGCTGAAGATGTCGAACACGGCCCTCCGCCCGAGCGACATAAGTGCGTCCGTTCCAGATCCAAGCTGCTGACTCTGGATCTGCCAGCGGATCTGATGAATCGGGTGGATCTGAATCTGACATTGACAGCCATCGCAGGATCCCATTTGTGGCGAACGTAGATGTGACCCCGAAGATGGAAAAGGTGTCGAACCCAAACCCGCGACTTCCAGACCGTGATCATAACCATCAAGACCACAACTCGAAGATCCATGGTTTTTAACCGCGATCGATGGTCGCACTGCCGATCCAGGAAGCGCTCGGATCTTGGTTGCTGGAGGCGCGTTACATGCACGAGGTGCGGCAAGAGAGGACATCCGTCGGACCACTGCCGCTTCGTGTGTCATGGATGT